AAAGTGACCTGAAGGGGAAACAGGGACCCTGGGATTAGAACCAGCGGCCATATGGGATTCAGGTGCATGCAAGGCAAGAACCTGTAGCCACCAGGGCTGGGCCCTGATTTTAGTTTTAATCTCCGTTTTAGCCTTGAAGAACTGTTACAGCATCTAATTTAGATGTCTTGAAACAAAACAATTTCTCCTTTTCATATACAACTTTCAAAATTAACCATACCCTGAATCCTAACTTGTGATCAAAATTTAAAAGGCAGAACAAGGACAGAAAAGTACTACCAGGAAAAAAAAAATCTAAGAAACTTGAGAACGTCTGCTCCTAGCCATGACAAAATGAATGGCACAAGACTAGAAATGTATAAAAATAGAAATGAAAATTTAACATGAGTGAAGCAATCATTTTAGACACCAAATATCATATATGCAGGGCCAAAATCTCTGAGAAACAAATGAAATAAGCATTAGACTTTCCCTGGTTTTCTAGCTAGAAACACTTTACAGACTGTGATACAAACAGAGGTCAACTCAAACAGAACACAACTCCACTGAGCTAAGGAGACAGAATCCAAACTGCACAGATGCTAAGACAAAGAACAGGTAAAAAAGGGACTCCACAGAGAAAGAGTGCCCAAAACCTACATAAAAGATCCCTAGAATTTTAAGAGGCACAATATGCGGTTCAGGCTTTGGGTAAGAGTCCAAAAGGCCAAAGAACAGCTGCCATAGGAGGTCGCGCTGGAGAGCTGTAAACAGAACATCCCCACAGCTCACGAAGCACTGCCAGGCATGCCCGCTCTTGACCAGCCACAATGTAGGAATCTTGTTGTTCTTCCAGGACTGTCACCAGAGGACCCCAAGGGTCACACTCTACTCTAGACGCACACCCACAAAACCTAGAAACAAGCTCCACAAGTATTACAAACAACTGCTAAAAGAAAAAAAAAAACAGGATCAGTAAAATCAAACAATCAAAACATAATTTTCACAAAGCTCAATATCCAAGTAAAAATTACCACATGGTCAAAATAGCTTTACAGAAATTAAGAGAAAACTAAATCACAAATCAGGACTTTCACACACACAAGAACATAAAGAGGAGACAAGTTATAGATACACAAAGAGACCCAAGTAAAACTTATAATAAAGAAAAACATAATACGTAAAGTAAAAATCTCAGTGAAGGGGTAACAGCAGACTAGACACACCAAGAGGCCAGGAAACCTGATGCTCATGACGTAGTTATAAATCTGTCCAAATTGAAGCACAGGAAACAAAAGGATTAAAAAGAAAGCGAACAAGAGACCATCAACCTGTGAGGCAGTATGAAGGACACAAGAAAAAGCAATGAAACACAAAAACCATTTCACCAAATAAAAATGTCCCAAATTTCAAATCTGGTAGAAACACAAAGAACAATGAACCTAAGGCATATGCTGTAAGCTGAATACTGAATATTCCTTTTAACAAACAAATTTTAACGCAAAATTTGTTAAAATCCTAACACCAAAGAGATGATATTAAGAGACATAGACTTTCGGGACCACAGATATAGCCTAGAAGCTAAATCCTCGCCTTGCATCCACTAGGATCATGCTACTTCTTTACATCAGTAACAAACTCAGTGAGAAAGACACTAGAAAAACAATCCCATTTGCAATAACTAACAAAAAATAATAAAATGCCTTGGAATAAATTTAAACAAGTGTGTAAATAATCTCTACAGCAATAATTAAAAGCACTGATAGAAAAAAATTGAATAAGACACAAAATAAGTAGTTAGATCGCCCATTTCATGTTCATGAACTGGATAAATTAACATCACAAAAAATGTCGATGCTACTGAAAACAATTTGCAGATTCAGTACAATCCCTAACAAAATTCGAATGACATTCTTTACAGAACTAGAACAATTCTAAAATTCTATGGAAACACAAAAGATGCTGAATAGCCAAATGAATAGCCAAAGCAGTTCTGAACAAAACAAAGCTGGAAGTATCATCAGACCTGATTTTAAGACACACTATAGACTTACTGTGACAGCATGACACCAGCATAACACAAATTCATAAAGCAACAGAACAAAACACAGACCCCAAAAATTAATCTATGGAATCAGTTCTCTATAGAAACGCCAAAAACACACTAAACAAAGGATAGTATCTGAAGAAAACTTGGCACCCACATGCAGAAGAGTGAAAACAGTAATGTTCCCTCACCACTCACTCTGTGCAAGCAAAAGGAAACTCTCAAAAAGCTCAAAGATATGGCAGCACTACAGCATAGTTGCTAAAGCCACCACCTGTGACATCAGCAACCCATGGGGGCACCAGTTCAAATCCAGGCTGCTCCAATTCCCACTAATATGCCTAGGAAAGCAACAAGAGATGGCACAAATGCCTGGGCCCACACACCGACATGGGAGACTTGGAAGAAGCTCCTGATTTCAGATCAAACCAGCTTTGGCCACTGCAGCCATTTAAGGAATGGACCAACAGATGGAGGATCTCTACTTTTTTATCTCTCTCTCTCTCTCCCCCCCCACCTTTCAAATAATTGAAAAAATTTTAAACCAACACATCTGAGGCCAGCACAGTGTCATACTGGTATGTGATGCCACCTGTGCTATCAGCATCCCATATGAGCACCAGTTTCAGTCCTGGGTGTTCCACTTGCTCTAGCTCCCTTCTGGTGCTCCTAAGAAAGTGAAAGAAGACAGTCCACATCCTTAGACCCATACACACACGGGAGACAGAGAGGAAACTCCTGGTTCCTGGCTTTGTTCCAGCTGGGCTGGAACAAAGTGAATCATCAGAGATCTCCCTCTCTCTCTGTAACTCTACCCTTCAAATAAATAACATCGACGATAACAACAAAAAGATCAGAGATTTAAATGTACATTCTGAAACAATGAAACTACTGGAATAGTAAGGAGACACATCAAGACACTGACATAAGCAAAAGCTTTCTGCATTGGACCATGAAAGTACAAGCAACAAAAGCAAAACTTAGTAAGTTGGTTTAGATGTAAGTTGGAAGCAAAAGAAACAGTCAATTGTGGGAAGAAACAATGATCAAAGCTAACCATTTCTCCTGGGGAAAAATCTGTCATTCTTCTCAATATTGGTTATATCTCCTTCCCTAAAAACACTATCTCAGTAAGACTTCCCAACAATCCTAACTCCTCTAGCAATCATACCACACCATCTTTTCTCATTTTCTTTTTTCTTTTTCTTTTTGAAGGTAAATTCGCATTTATTTACAAGGAAAGAGATTTATTTCTAGGAATGTCATAAAAATATACTGGATATAAAATCCAGATCCCAAAAGCTCCCCTATCTCCTTCTAGCACCAAGCAAACGAAGCGGTACCCCCCAGGCACTGTCTAGGCCACAGTGATGGCAATTTCAAGCCCGTGCTAATGTCCACACAAAACTGACGGTCTGGAAAGGTGTTCCTGAATCCAGAGAGCAACCATAACACAACTGCCCTAGGAATTCACTCTAGCCAAGAAGAAAGGGTCCGTGAGTAAAGTGAAAATAGTGGAAGTGGATGCCTCAAGTTCTCGGTAGTCAGGCAAGGGGTGAGGCATTCTCAGAGGTACGCTCTACACTAGCACAGGTTAAGGAAACTGACCTGTGAACGACTTAGTCCTTGGCCCTGCCGCCCCCATCCAGTGAAGAAGAAACTTTCGCTGCCATGTCAGTCCACACACAGCATTCTTCAAAACAGGTGGGCTCAACACTGTGCCCAGCTGCATGGCCAGTTTACACCTAGACAAGCCTTTACTGCACACACTTCAATGCTGAGGCTCACTGGCTACAGTTTGAATCTGCTCTATCTTTACATATAAATATATGTACAATATGAGTTAAAACAAGTATCAAGGGTACTTCAAAAAGCTCATAAGAACAGCATTAAAAATATAAGCTTACTTGGGTGCGAACATTTTCAAATCTATGCAAGTGAGGTGTCCTCAAAAAGTTCATGAAGAGCTGGCACAATGGCTCAATTGGCTGATCCTCCACCTGCACATGCCAGCATCCCATATGGGCACTGGTTCATGTCCTGGCTGCTCCACTTCCTATCCCGCACCCTGCTTGTGGCCTAGGAAAGCAGAGGAGGATGGCCCAAGGCCTTGGGACCCTGAACCCGTGTGGGAGATGTGAAAGAAACTCCTGGCTTCAGATTGATTCAGCTTCAGCCATTGTAGCCATTTGGGGAGTAAACCAACAAATTTCTGTCTCTCTTCCTCTCTGAAAATCTGCCTTTCCAATTAAAAAAATAAAATAAAATAAATCTTTAAAAAAAATGTTTTTAAGTCCATGAAATGTGCACTATGAAGAGCCCAGCACAGTAGTCTAATGGCTGAAGTGCTCGCCTTGCATGCGTCAGGATCCCATATGGGCATAGGTTCATGTCTCGGATGCTCCACTTCCCTTCCAGTTCCCTGCATGTGACCTAGAAAGGCAGTAGAGGATGGCCCAAGGCCTTGGGACACTGCACCTGTATAGGAGACCCAGAAGAGATTCCTGACTCTTGGCTCCGGATCAGCTCAGCTACAGCTGTTGCAGCTACTTAGGGAGTGAACCAGCACATGAAGGATCTTTCTGTCTTTCCTTTCTGTAACTCTAACTTTCCAATTAAAATAACTAAATCTTTAAAAATATATATGTGCACTATGAATACATTATATATGGCTTTCAAATATTTTTGTACCAAAGTAAACTTGTCTTTTAATTCCCATGTTTCCCCCATTTCTAAAGGGGAAAATCATCTGGGACAATGTGTTTCTAATAGGGGGGAGCTAAGCGCCCTTAACCAAACAACAGAAAAGCTTAAACAGCCTAGCAGTCTGGTAACTCTGAAGGCCATGTCTCCCAGACACCTTCATGTCATTTTTTTTTCTGAAACTTTCATCTGCTTTAAGTTTCAATACAAAATTCCTTCAAAGAAATTTCTTGTCAAATGGTTGTTTTGATGCATTTTGGTACATACTTACAGATGAACTATCGGTTGATTCATTATTTTTCTCATATTTCTGCTTCTTGCTCTTTTTTTTCTTCTCTTTCTTTGCTTTTTTTGAATGTTTCTCTTTTTTTTTCTTTTTCTTCACAGAGTGCTCCTATAAGTAATTATTTCAACAGGTTACAAAAGTAAGATAGTTTTATCTTCCATAACGTAAAGCATTTTGGGGGGAAAAACTATACATCAAAAACTTTAAATCTGTCTTAAGATGAGAAAAACAATATAACCAAATAAAAAATACATATTCAAAGAAGCCTACAGATGCATTCTGTAAGAGCTGGGGTTGTCTTACAATGCATTATGCCATAGCTTGTGCTCCTAGCATAGAAAATTAGACTACCAGCTTCCAGCTGTGAGGTTTCCAATCCAGTTCTGTGATAATGATAGGCCAAGTGCTTAGAGTTCTGGCACCCAGCCATGCTGGAGACCTGACTAGAGTTCCTGACTCTTGCTTTCAGTCCAGAATTGGGACCGTGAAGCAATGGATGGAAGATGAATATCTGTGTGTTTCTCTCTCTCTCTCTCTCTATGATGTTCTGTCTTTCAAATAAATATGCATATCTTTTTATAAAAGTCTCCTGTAAGGCCCATGAATGCCAATAAAAAACAAATAAATCAAGATATATAGACATATCAAATAAAACATACACATAAATCAAGACATTATATTGTATTCCACAAACATACACAACTATTATGTTACTCAAAAATAAAACATTATAGGAAAAGAAAACAAAGCTTGGGAGGAACTAAAATAATAGCTAAATCAAGACATAAGTTTGCTACAAGTGGGCCAGAAATTTGGAGCTAAAACTTCCACCAGCCAACTCAATGAACAAAATCTGCCTAATGCTGTAATACCCAAAATAATCATACGTGACTTCGGCAGAGATCAAACTGTCCAGCAGTGCCAACTCTGTGACATAAAAATTTTCTGTGAAATTTTTCTTCCAGTATTGTCTAAGTACCAAGAAAGCCAGTGTTCACCTGTGAGAGTTGTTCAATTCGCTCATTCACCTCAGGCAGCATCCATGTATCCTCACCCCGAAGTCGCTTCAGTTCTTTCCGCCTTTCTTCTTTTTCAAAGTTGGCTTTAGCCTACACCAACACAAAGGACATGCTGGCAACTGATCTAATTTCTTTTAACAAGAGGAAAAAAAAAAGGAAAGCAAAGTTTCACAAACTACAAATCCTACCCCCCCCCCAAAAAAAATACTAAAAACGACAAATATATTCACACATCTTATATATGCTAAAAATCAAGGAAATTTATCAAACTTAGTCCAAGACCATTCACACACTCTTTTGAATCAATGGTCCAAGTTTCACTTTAAGGATAGGTACTTCTGGATAAATGAATGAATGGTCTGTTCCTGTGATGCTGGACAGAAAATTTCTGCTACCAAGCATAGAAGAGATTTCAAAGGAAATAAAACCTCTCCACATTACCAATTTCCAGTGAGTTAAATCCTCAATCAGGGAGAAAATATTGGGATGAATTTAAGAGCCTTTCCCCTCTCCCTCTGTCTTTCTCTGTATGTGAAAATCAATATTTATTAAAGATATTAAAACGGAAACACTTGCTTCTCTCACCCTGATAAGGGTTGGAATTCCTTCCTTTCCCACCTCCACAGCTACACTGTGTTAAAAAAACTTCTGTTATCAGGGCCCGGCGCAGTGACACAGTGGTTAAGGTCCTCGCCTTGCACGCCCGGGATCCCATATGGGCGCCAGGTTCTAATCCTGGCAGCCCCGTTTCCCATCCAGCTCCCTGCCTGTGGCCCGGGAAAGCAGTCCAGGACGGCCCAAAGCTTTGGGACCCTGCACTCGCGTGGGAGACCCTGAAGAGGCTCCTGGCTTCGGATCGGCATAGCATCGACCGTTGTGCTCACTTGGGGAGTGAATCTTCAGACGGAAGATCTTCCTCTCTGTCTCTCCTCTCTGTATATCCACCTTTCCAATAAAAATAAAATAAATCTTTAAAAAAAAAAAAAAACCTTCTGCTATCAGGTCTCTAACCACCACACATTCAGTATTCCATGCCTGCATTCCAACACCCAACACCACACTATAAATTCTCTCTCTTTGGGCCCAGCGCAGTGGCCTAGCTAAAGTCTTCACTTTGAACGCACCCGGGATCCCACATGGGCGCCAGTTCTAATCCCGGCAGTTCCACGTCCATCCAGCTCCCTGTTTGTGGCCTGGGAAAGCAGTCGAGGACGGCCCAAAGCCTTGGGACCCTGCAACCCGTGAGAGACCCGGAAAAGGTTCCTAGTTCCCGGCTTTGGGCCAGCACAGCACTGGCCTTTGCACTCACTTGGGGAGTGAATTATTGGACAGAAGATCTTCCTCTCTGTCATTCCTCCTCTCTGTATATCTGATTTTGTAATAAAAATAAATTTAAAATCTTTAAAAAGAAAAGTCTACCTGTCAGCATTATCCCTTCCCCTTCCTGCCTCTCCACCACTGCTCTACAGAAACTTCGCGTGTAACCACACGTAAAAGTCTCCATTCGTTTTTTAAGATTTCTTTTTATTGCAAAATGAGATATACAGAGAGGAGAGTTAGAGGGGAAGATCTTCCACCCGATGGTTCAACCCCCAAACAGCCCCAATGGCTGGAGCTGAGCTGATCCGAAGTCAGGAGCCAGGAGCTCTCACTGCACCACCCAAAGTTGCTCTCCAAGTTTTCCGTTCCGTGGCTGTACCTCTTAAATGTTGAACAAATTATTATCTTGGCACATACTTCCATACTTTACTTCTCTCTTTATATGTTACCTCTGCACGAGGGCATCTTAATGAGTACTACAATGTTTCTCAACCTCTGCAAGAAGATAAATTGTTGAGTGAATTCTTGTCGCAGTCAGGGAGCGCTTCCAGGAGTCTGGAAGCCACACCGACAGTGAGAAGAATTCCACTCCAAGACGCCTTTCCAGTGTTCCTGGGGAAAACGGTGTTTCAGACAGCAGCAATGACTGAGAGCGCGGACCAGGCGGCAGTCAGTCAGGGACACGACGGCCTAAAGAGTGAGGGACCGCGGGGCAACCAGGGCGCCCTGAGCAACGCACGGGACCGCGGCTACCCTCGCACACACCCTGCAACTCACTCAGAGGGGGGCTGGGAGGGCTAGCTCCTGCAAACCCTGAGCCCACGCAATTCCGAGCAAGGAAAAGGCCCCACAATGCAAATACCTGGCGCAACGCCTCGGCCCTGGCGAGCCGGGTCTGTTCCTTCCGCTCTTCGATACTCCTCTCACTTTCAAATCTACCACTGGCGGCTGCCATAGTTGTTGTCGTCGTAAAGCTGGAGAGCCGTCAGGAAATCTCGGTTTACGACGGTCGTAATTTCACAAACAAACCCGGACTTCCGACTGGGGGAGGGCGGGAGGCTACGCGACCAACAGAGCATGCGCAGGTCTGGGCGCGGCGCTGGGTCGCTCCTAACCCCGAGTCAGGGCTGAAGATCTGAACAGGGGCTTTGGGTGTAGGAATTAACATCCGCAGACGCTTAATTTGCGCTTTCCGTGAATGGCTTGCTCACCAACTTTCTCTTACAATCACTGAAGTAAATAAAATGCGATTTAAACAGATGAAATCTCTCTCGAATGTTTTCAAAGTGTCTGGTCTCACCGTTTTCACTGTACTAGAGAAATGTTCTAGAGGGAACCTGGTCAAGAAATGGAAGAAAAAGATTGCTTTGACAATGAATATAGTGTTTTGTTTTTACGGATGTTTTTAGTTTGTAAAATATTCAAATGAACTTCGTGTTGTACTTCATTTTCTTGGTGCTTTTTAAATTTTTGAAATTTTACATTATTTTTCCCTTTGACGATGTTGTTTGCTCTTATTTACATATCCAGGCATTCTCTCTAATGATGAACCTGTGTATTGGGGGGGTTACTGTGTTTTTAAGTTCCATGAAGAGTAAGATATTCTAAAGTATTCAACTGCTTTGAGAACATAATACACTAAGCTTATATTTACAACCCTAAAAAATGAAGAAAGCCAGAAGGCTGTAAAATATAAAATAGATAATCCTTTTTTTAACTTATTTTATTTAAAAGGCAGAATTACCCAGAGAGAGACAGAGCTCTTCCGTCCCCTGGCTCATTCCGCAAAAGTCAGAGAAGGTTGGGGCTAAATTGGGACTGCAGCCTGGAACTCCATCAGAATCTCCCCTGTGGGTGGCAAGGACGCAAGAGCTTAGGCCCTTCTGAGGCACTTAGCAAGGAGCCGCATTCCAAGCAGAGCAGCCAGGACCCCTCCAAGGTGGGAATGCACAGTCCCAGAGCGGAGGCTTAGCTCCTGTGCCACATTTGCCAGCCAATACAGCTAATCTTAAGGATGCAGAAAATAGTATACATAAACCAGACTAAGGTAGATATTCTGCCTTTTCAGGTTTCATAAAACTGGATATATGTTTGCAAGAAGCCTTCCTGATGGTTTCTGCTTTGCCATTCAATGAAAGTCCTGATCTTGACCATCTGTCATTTATTTTGAAATTTACTTGTTTGGTAGTCGATAAAATATATTCCTATTGTTATAAAAAAATGAAATTGAACTTACTAATTAATCCTGTAACATTTAACTTCCTGGCATTAAAGTCTTCTCAGATTCTCAAGATTGACAAAAACATTCATTTCCTCCTTTGTACAAGGAATCAACAGGTACTATAACAAAAATACTGTAGACTGGATAACTTCTAATCCAAATACAGTTCCCATAGTACTGGATACCAGGAAGCCCAATTGGGGTGCCAGCAGACTTGATGCTGGATGAGATTAGAGATGGCAGTCTTTTGCTGTGTCTCCTAACAAGAGGCAAGGGATCTCTCTGGATCCTCTTTCATAAAGGCACCAACCCTATTCATATAAGGATGCCATTTTCACAAATCTGTTACACTGGGAAATAGGTTTTCATGTATGAAGTTGGGGAGAACAAAGCATTCATTCTATAGACATATGTGAAGTTATGTGAAGGAGTTTAAAACCCTATTTAAACCTTCAACATAACACTAGAACAAACAATGAAGTATATTATGTGCATAAAGATTTGGCATATAAATCATCATACATCGACAAATAAATATCATACAATACAAATAAAATTGCCTAACAAAACAGTTTAAATAGCAAACAAGGAGAGGCAGGGAGTGAGGGGAAACACACAGCATGATGGCTATGTGGCTAAATCCTCACTTTGCATGTACCAGGATCCCATATGGGTAACGGATCAGGTCCCAGCTGCTCCACTTCCCATCCAGCTCCTTGCTTATGGCCTGGAAAAGCAGTGTTGGATGGCCCAAAAGCCTTGGGCCCCTACATCTGCGTGGGAGACCCAGAAGAAGCTCCTGGCTCCTGGCTTCAGAACAGCTCAGCTTCAGCCATTGTGACCACTTGGTAAATGAACTAGCAGATGGAAGAGCTTTCTGTTTCTTTTTCTCTCTGTAAATCTGCCTTTCCAAATAGTAAATCTGCTAAATAAATTTAAAAATAAATAAATACGAGCAAGTTGTTTGGTCTAGGTTTGCATTTGGCCAGAGCTAAGAAAAATCCAGTCATACCATTTAATTAAACAAGAGGTAAAGTTATAAAAATTAAGTTAAATAAAGACCAAATATAAAGACATGAGAGTACATGGCACATTTGCGTGATGGGATGGGGAGCTGACCACCTTCACATGTAACAAATTTCTGAGGAGTGAATTAGAATGCCCCCTGCTTCAGATGCATCAATCTTCAAGAATTTTGCTTGTTTGCACTCCAACATCTGACTCTGCTCCTGAGACTCCTCTTTGACAACTCTACAGAAGCTGAGCTCTACTGCTGCTGAAGCCTAGGTGGAAGCACAGCTTCCATGACCCTAAGGAAAAATGCCCCAGTGTTGATATAATCTTCCACTAAGGGACCAGATTACCTCCCTTCTTTGGATGGTAAACAAGCCTGTGCATTAAGAAGCAGAACACTTTAGGAGCTTCTTTCAGTTGCTCAAAATGAGTGAATAAAAGAAGATTGTGTAGGTAGGGTGATGTAGCACAGTGTGTTAAGCCACTGATTCAGGCACCAGCATCCCATATCATAATGCCATTTCAAATCCTGGCTCCTTTGCTTCCAATCCAGCTTCATGCCAATGGACCTGGAAAGCAATGGATGATGGCTCGCGTACTTGAGTCCTTGTCACCCATATAGGATGGAGTTCTTGGTTCTTCACTTTAGCCAGGCCTAGTCCTGGTTATTACAGACATTTAGGGGATGAGCTGGTGGATGAGAAGCCCCCTCTGTCTCTCTCCTCCTGCCTCCCTTCTCTGTCAGCCATCTTTCAAATAAATAAACCACTTTTTAAAATGTTGTGTAAGCCATTTCCCTGTCCTTTTATCTCTGGACGAAGGATAACTGGAAGATGATACACAAGCAAAGAGGTCTCAGAGGCAGCTGCAAATAAAGGTCTAGAGTAACAGTTTCAAAAAGTCATATAATGTGTGCTTCTATTGACTCCAAATTCTGTATTTTAAACTGTAGAATAGGTTGCTATCAAAAAGAGAGGAGACTTCTTGGAGATGATTCAATTTGATTCTCCTATTATGGAAGTTGCACACTGAACAGCTGCTGTGTCTCCAGCCAGGGTAACCAGCCAATGCAGAGTTGATTGGAAAGGCTACTGCACCTGCCCACCCAACAGCAACCACATCCAAAACAGCCTGACATGAAATACTTTGTGACCACTCTGGTATAATTTACACAATGACCTTAGATTTCTGTCAGAAGAGCTCTGAAAGGTCATTTTGTTGTTGAGAAAGAAACATCCATAGAAAGTATTTTTTTAAAAAGAAACACCCATAAGCTTTCTTGTGGGGAAAAGGAGTAATAGAAAATGGGAGCAGCAGGAAACCAAAGCCTAGATTTTGATATCTCTGTCCTTGCCTGCCTTGTCCCCCACCCCACCATGAAGTGTCAAGGAATGACTGTCCCAGTACTGCTACAGTTACTGTCAGAGCTGCTTTGCCATGTCCTGATTTATAATGGAAAGCTGCTTGTGTCTGCATTCAATGCACAGGGACTGCTCTGCCTGCTCTGCTCTGTGATTACATACTAAGAACCAGGTACCAAAACTCAATCAGTAAAGCAGACCTGTAGACCCCTAGGCAGCACAGCTTAGCTACTGGCCCTAGGAGAGGAATTTGCTAAGTGCAACAGCCAAGAGCAAATCAGGAGTCAGAAGCACAACAATGAGTATTATTGATGGCTGCCCCCCAAAAGAAACAAAAGCTTTTGTCAACCTCAGAGTTAACTAAGGGAGATGAGAATTTTTTTAAATGTATTTGCTTTATTTTTTGACAACACACTTCCATAGGCTCTGGGATTTCCCTTCCCACTCCCCAAATCCTCATCCCCCACACACTGACTTCCCCCATATCATTCCAGTAGTATACACCTCAACAATCAGTTGTAAGTCCATCATTCTGCTATTTAAGTGTATCTTAACTTCCCTAATTTGGAGAAAGAACCATGAAACAAAATACAGGAGGGGTACAGATTCACAATAGGGTTGAGCAAAAGCAGTCTTCACCATGACACATGATAATCAAGCTCTCATCCATTGAACATAGGGAGAATATCCTTGGATGTGCACATAAGAAAAGAACAGTTAACATATAGAAGAAAGACAATCAGGCTCACAGCTTATCTCTCACAGGAAACTCTACAGGCCAGAAGAGAATGGAGGGACATATTCCAGAATATAAAAGCAAAAATTGTCAGCCCAGAATAGCTTACCCAGTAAAGCTTTCTTTTGTCTTTGAAAATGAAATAAAATTCTTTCACAGTAAACAAAATCTCAAAGAATTCACCTCTTTCAGATCTGCCTTACAAATGAGACTTAAAGATGTTCTATTGACAGTAAAGGAATGGCACCTACCAAAACAAACAAAAAAAAAAAAAAAAGAAGAAGAAGAAGCTAAATCAACCAATGAACAACTCATTGCTAAAAGGATATGGCCAAATTATCACCTATTGATATTAACCCTGAATGTAAATTGCTTAAACTTATCAATAAAGCATCATAGGTTATTGGCCTGAATCAAAACACAAAACCCATCTGTTACCTCTAGGAGACACATCTCAACCAACAAAGATATGCAGACACTGAAAGCAAAAGGATGGAAAAAGATATTCTAGGCTAATGGAAAGGGAAAACGAGGTGATGCAGCCATCCTTGTATCAATAATATAGAAAGCAGCAGAGGGTGAGAGAAGTTCTTGGGACCATGCACCTACTTAAGAGGCCTGGAAAAAGCTGCTGGCTCCCAGCTTTA